TAGTGCCTGTCACCTCCTTTAGGAGAGTGGGAGAGTTATGTGCACTGTTTTCTACCAAGACAAAGTCCAACTTAGGCCTCATTCTAAGTTTCTGTGTGAGACTGATTTTTCACCTGAATCAGTCAATACACTTAATGGTTTCCTTAACCGTTTCCTTCCAAACGTCCCAAGCTCACAAAGATGAATGAAGGCTGCACACTCTGGATGAACATAGGGCTTTGGTTTTTTGCCTGGTGAAGAAAATGCCTTTCAGGGTTCTTCTCAGCTATTTGTTTCCTACTTGGAACAAATGAGAGGTCAACCTGATGCAGCACAGCGACTGTCAAAATGGATTACCAGCTGCATCACTATGTGGAGTTCTTCGAGGAGTGTCCCTGTGGGTGCTCCACTTTAGGTGTCTTGGCGCCCTGTACTTCTAATCGGAGATTTGTAGTAGCAGTGCCCCGGCTGGCCGCCCACGTGCGGCAGCCATCTCACATCGCTCCAAGTGGTTATCCCATGTGCGCAGCCAACCATCTCCCAGTTCCTTCTCTACTGCCTTTGGCTTTGGTCAGAACAAGAGCAGCGCACTCACGGCTTTAGCTGTTTCTATTATTTCAGTTCTTTCCCAGCTCGTATCTCTCTCCTTTAATTTTCTTTTACCATATTAAAAAAAACCCTTTTTTTTCCTACTCCTCCCCTTTCCCCTGCCTCAGGCGGGTAACTCCCAATGACATAAGAGGCATAAGAACAGATTATTCCCATTCTTCCTTTCCACATAGCCTCAGAAATGCCTGGTTCTTCAGGCTTCAAACGCTGTCTTATTTGCAGACTCTCTATACTGGTCTCTGATGGCCATACACAGTGTGTCTGTTGCCTGGGGGGGAGACATATATCTCAAAAGTGTCTCCACTGCAAAAAACTGACAGGACAAGGAAGCCTAGGGATCTCCAGTTGAAATTCCTGATGATGGAGAAATCCCTTAGACCAGCCTCTGGCCCAGAGTCCAGGATACTTCTTGGCCAGTGGTCACCAACAGCAGCCTCAGACATGGGATCTTCCTCTAAAAAGGCAACTAAGGACTCTGTTCCTAAAAAAGCCACAAAAAAGAGGTCTCACTCTTTACCACAGTGAGATTCCGCTCAGAAAAAGCGATCTCCGACCGCAGAGTCTGCCCCGGTACCAATGGCACCAAGATGTCCCAAGGAGCTAAAGACCCGGTGCGATCTAGCTCTCATGGAGTTGCACATACCAAAGCTCCTAGCTCGGCACCGGTGGAGCCGAAGAAAACCCAGACAATGGCACCACCTGCCGCACTGATACAATGCAGCAAGCCTGCGGCACCAGCAGCCCTTCCTTCTTCTGAGTTCCAGCCAGAGTCTACCTCTGTCCTCGATACTGTGCCTCCTGGTAGCGCAACAATTTATCAGACAGGCAAACCTCCTGATTACTTCAACTGTGGGGATTCCGCTTTTTTTGGCACCAATGGCACCCCAGCCAGACTGGGACCAAGCTTGGCTATTACCCCTGCAGGCTTAGTCCCCTCCTCTTTCCAGCAATAAGGAGGAGGAAGTGGAGGCAAGGATGTACACCCCTCGCCATTCCTCACCCAAACCTGGACCCTCGTGCACCAAACATCTCTGGATGGAAGAGGCTGGCAGGCTCCACAATGGGTGCCACCCTCCCTGCTCTCCCATTGCACTGGACATACTGGGACCCATGGGCATTATACATCAGGCCCCCCAACCCACCCAGGTCCAGAACAACACAATCACCTTCACCACCTGCCCAAGCTCCCTCAGAAATGTTGGAGGAGGAAGTAGAAGAACTTGAGGATGTGCCTGAGGGCGATACCATCCCACCTACCCATATCTTCTCTTCGTCACAGATGAAACAATAATGCTGCCTCCCCCCACATCTAGAGACGACTTTAAATCCTTTCAAGATCTGTTTAAATGGGTAGCTGACTCCCTTGACATATCATAGCAGGGCTACCAGAGAGAGAACGTAAACCGATAGATATACTCCAGGCTTCTCCATTAGCCAAGTTTGCACTACCTATTAATGCAGCCATTATGGACCCGGCAAAAATTGTCTGGCAGACACCAGCCACAGCTCCGCCTTCTTGTAAGAGATCCGACAAGAAGTACTATGTACTGGCTAAGGGGGCTGAGCTTTTTTTTTTTTTCAAACTCATTGGTGGTAGAAGTGGTTAATCAAAGGGGGAAGCCACATCAGTCAAGAACTACCCCTTACAATAAAGAATGGAAAAGACTAGACCTTTTCGAAAGGAAAGCCTACTCGTCGGCTACCCTCCAATTCTGCATAGCCAACTTCTCGGCCTTACTAGCCAAATAAACACACAACATGTTTTCTCACATGGCAACCTTTATTGAACATCTTCCAGAAGACAAAAAGGAGCACTACAAGGCCAACATTTCAGAAGGTTCCCTCATTGCCAGAACAGGCTTCTCTTGATTCTGTTGACATGGTGGCATGATCCATCGCTATGTCCATAGTCCATGTGTAGGGCTTCCTGCCTCCATCTTTCCAGATTTCCCAGGGAAGTTCAAGCAGCCGTAGAGGACATACCTTTTGAAGGCCAAAAATTGTTTGCGGCGAGCACAGACGTCTCCTTGCACACCTTGAAGGACTCCCAGGCAACGTTAAAGACACTTGGAATCTAAGTCCTTGCAAACAAAAAAGAAACTAGGCAGATTCTATAATCAGTGATTCTGGACTTCCCCATACACCCAACCTCAAAGACACTACAACTAATGCTGCAAACAGAGACAGACGAGACGCTGACAACCTTGCACCAACATGGCCCAGACAAACATGGTTTCCATGAGTTTGTGTTTTGGATTATTTTATCCCAGACACATTAGCTTTTGTTTTTCCAAGTTGAATCTTACTTAATTGTTTTCGGCTCATGTATCTAACCTCTGGAGGCTCCTTTGTAATGTTTCTCTGTTTTTGCTGGTGATCACATCTACTTCCAATTTAGTATCATCTCTGAATGTTAGCAATATAATATGTATTCCTCTTCCAGATCATTAATGAAAATGTTAAATAAGACACTAACACTGATTTTCCCTGGTATCCCACTAGACCTCTTACCCTGAACTTGCTATACTGTTCCCAGGAGAAATGGAGAATCTGCTTTTTCTATCATTACATGCTTTTCAAAGAGGGGAATGGAAAGCAGTTTTCCCTGCCCTTAGCTTTAGCTGCCTTTACACTGCCTGCTAGACTTGCTCAGGGTTACACATTATGTCCTGTGGAGCGACAATTTAAGCGTTTCACCTGCCCGACAGATGAAACTGTCTGGATTGATTTTGTTATTTCACAACTGAAATCATTACGGAGTGCACGAGGCTCTGATTATGCTACTGCTGTACCAACTGCAGCAGTACAATATGATTTTGGTACAACATTCATTCATCTGCTGAATTGAAGTTAATTGGCAAACTGGATACAATTAACTTAGGCTTGAATAAAGACTGGGAGTGGATGGTTCATTACAGAAAGTAAAACTATTTCCCCATGTTTATCCCACCCCCCTGCCCGCTGTTCCTCAGATGTTCTTGTCAACTGCTGGAAATGGCCCACCTTGATTATCACTACAAAAGTGATAATTCCCCCCCCCCCCCGCCCCTGCTCTCCTGCTGGTAATAGCTCACCTTACCTGATCACTCTCATTCCAGTGTGTATGGTAACACCCATTATTTCATGTTCTCTGTGTATATAAATCTCCCCATTGTATTTTCCACTGAATGCATCCAATGAAGTGAGCTGTAGCTCACGAAAGCTTATGCTCCAATAAATTTGTTAGTCTCTAAGGTGCCACAAGTCCTCCTTATCTCTGTTTATGTTGCTGTTTATTTTTCTAAATCACTAAGCTGTAACTGTATTACTAAATTATAAAGTTCCATCTCTTTGTGTGGTCTTTTCAATTTTTTAAATCTTTTCATTGCCTAATCTAAATATGAATTGGGTTGAACTTTCTTCTTGGAACCTACAGTGAGAGAGCAACTGTGAACAATGAACAATTTTAGGCAATGTGAATGCTATTCTTGCACCTTGCAACATGGCCAAGTGGATTCTACTTGTTGAATCTTAGGCCATGTCTACATGGGAACACTCGGGAAAGTTAAGGCAAGTTGTCCAAATGTATGAAGTCAATACTAATAAATTAGAGCATGTTAAAGTACCTTCCTCCTCACCCATGCGGATGATAGAATTTAGGAGTAAAGTGCATTTATTTAGCTGTAATTTGAGAGATTAAGCTACAGCAAATGGAGGCCGCTTACTCCTGAACAAGAGCATCCATGTGGGGGTTTAATATGCTTTTATGTAGGCACGTTGACGTCACGCCTTCAGTGTATAGGACTTAACTTTTCTGAGTTTCCCCTTGTAAACAAGCCCTGGAACTGCTTATGGGCTCTGATCCAGCTAAGCACTTAAGAACATGCTAAATGTAAAGTATGTGAGTAGTTCAACTGAAGCTTAAAGTTAAGTTTGTGCTTAAGTGCTTTGCAGGATTGGAGTTTTAAAAAGCCATTTTTTATGCCAGCCTGCTTTTTTAATGTTGCCCTTTTTTCCCTGCGCTACAATTTGTTGCAGATGCAAACCCTATCATGTAGACACCTAAGTACATAGCTGCCCCATTTAGACCTCTAAATGCATGGGTCACAGCTGCAAAAAAAAAAAAAGTCTGGATCTGTCCTCCTTTAAAAATTAAGCTCAAAGTGTGAAATATTTGTCAAAGGACAATGCTGTGTTTATCACAAAAGGTGTGTGTGTTTGTGTGTGTGTGTTCTTTAAAAAATGTTAAAGTGAAGTTAGTTTCTTCAGTTTTCATGCTGGCATTATAGCCTGATGAGTTCAGACACAGCTCAAGGCTACAATATAGAAAGAATGCGCGCGCTCTCTCTCTCTCTCTTTATCCTTCAGTTAAAAACTGTGTGATTAACAGACTAATAATCTGACCTGTCGTAATTTAACTTTTCAATGCTCAGGAATGCACTACTGGAAACCGGTGGAACTCCAGAAGTAATGACCATAATACAGATGTTTACACAGTGTTTTGTTCAAGCTCACCAGAAGGATAACAAGCAGGTTAGTCAAGCTCTATTTCTTTAGATAATTTTTAATGAGAGGTTTTCAGATTTAGCATGAAAAGAACAATTTTAAATTTTAGAATGCTGATGGAATAAAATGAGCCAAATAGTGGTCTCACATCACTACTATAGATGGATGCCAAGACATAGTTGAGGCCCTTTAACTGGCATCAGACATAGAGGTGCAAAACTATTATGCCTTTTGCAAAATAGGAGTAATTTATTTGTTGTTATGCTGTAGCATTTCACCAACATAAGTTATCTTGCCCTTATATTCAGTGCTTAATTTGTAATGAAAGAGGTGCCAGGGCTGAAGGAATTATTTTACATTCATAACTGATGCAGCAAGCCCAGAGGTTCCAGGGCTATGAACTGCTAAGCCTAGAGGTGCAAGGGCTCAGCCCTGGCAAGCCCTGGTGCAAATTAAGCACGGCATATATTATATTGTTATCCCGGCCCTGCAGCATTTGCCTGCATGCTGAATTACAGCATGATGCTCAATCTTGTACTGAAAGAGTGAGGGAGACCATAGGCAAGTATTTCTTTTGCAGCAGCAGGGATCCTACTGAGCACTGTGCTGAATGTAATAAGAAAAAAACAAAGAAAAATACATACAACGGTACAAAATAGTCAGGTTTGATCATCCAAGAGTTCAGATGAGGCTTAAAATTTCCCCACTCAGGATCTTATTCTCCTCTCATGGTAATTTTACAGCACTCTTACTCAATTGACTGCAGTGAAATTACTTGTGTTTTTCACGAACTTAACTAAGAGGAGAATCAGCCCCTCAGAGTTTAAAATCCAAGATCAGGGGACTTGAAAATTGTAATTATATTTATAGGTCACAAGCTTTCATTAGGTTCCTAGCCTGTACCAAAATTTCTTACTCTAATCATTTCATTAGTTTGTCCAGTGCAGTTTGACATGGCAGGAACACTGGGTTGGGAAGCTATTCTACTATTGAATATATTTAACCTCTAAACAAACTCCAGAGAATTTCTACTTTCTTTGATTTCCACATCTTTTTGGGAGATAGTGGTTGGTGAAGGGGTGGGTCTTGGAATCCGTGATATACTTGCCTCTAATTAGCATTGTGATTAAATCTGTCTTCTAGCTTCAGGTGTATGAATTAGGGATGAAACTGCAGCTGTCTTATTTAATATGAATAAATGCCACACACATTAATTTTATTCCATCCTGGTTGCATGTTAGCAGTACATTGTGCAGCCCCAGGGAGGCAGGGGTGGTGGGTTGGAGATCATAAGCAGAAATTCTGCACTCTTCAACTTGCTGGGGGGCTAAATTTGTTGTGCTGGCTCTGCATGTGTTTTATGGTGAAAGTTCTTCACTTGATGACATCATGTCATGGATTATTGCCCACTTTTTTATGTGAAGCTGGCTTTAAATATGAAATAGATCTTCTTTATGCAATTTATGTGTGTATATTCACACTGCTATAATTAAGGTGGTGCCTTTGAGCATTTGCATTATAAATCTTTTTTTCCCCCAAGAGTTTATAAATCAACTGTAAAATTTGCTACAATTTAGCATACAAGGTCTCAGACTAGGATAATAAATTTGGTTTAAATTAATTTGATTGTATTGTTTTTGCTTTCTGAATAATATTATAATTGTAGACATTGCAACTTCACACCGTATCTTTGAGAACTATTGTATTAAATTTATGAATGGTTTATAAATTCATGGGGACAGGTTACCACAGCTCCTCCAGGAACTAAAAACAGGGGGGCATGATTAAGGCAAGTTGCTGAAACTGTAAACAACCTCAGAGAGGTACCACTCCCTGGGGGGTTAGGAGTGACCTCTGGTAGACTTTTAGTAAAACTGTAGGAACTTGCGGGCGGGGGGTGGGGGGGGTCTTTATTTTCTTTGTAATGTTTCTGCCCTAAGAATAAATGTACTTGTTTAGAAAGATCTGTGTGGTAACTGCTGGCAATACACTGTTTATAGCTCTCGGAGAGAAAGCAAGTCACAGATGCTGGCCATTAGGCAGGCTAGCTTGCTGGAGTTATCACAGTGTATGGCTGGTGGCTGTGCAGCCTTGAAACCCCTGGTCAGAAGGGAGTAGTACAAGGCCCCTATCCAGAGACAGGTGACAGCTGGAGAACTGAGACCTGACTGGATGCTCCTGAAGTGGACCATGGGAATGGGGAGGGTGCAAATATAGTTGAGTTACCCTGAAACTGTAACAGTTATTACATGCATTTATAAGGTACCCATCTCTATGTCTGCATGTACTTAGTGGGACATAAATTGCTCCATTAACATTTCAAATAAGAGGAACACTAAAGACTGAGAATGAAGAAGGATCTGGCCAGTTGTTTGAGACCCCAGGAATTTATAGTTCAGCTAATTGGAAAAAAGGCTAGGCAAACAGATGTATCTTGTGAATCTTTCTAAGAACCAGGTTGTGTCCACAGAGGTGTGCAGGGTAGGAAAGAGTTCACAGAAAACCCTGTACTCCCCCCAGTATAATGGCTGGCCACAATCACAGTCCCTTCTAATATCCTTATAGATCACTTAGAATGGGTGAGGAAGGGCATGGCATAGCTGGGGAGTGTAGAGCAGTGCTGTTTAGGGGAGGTAGCAGTGCATATGTTTCCCTTGTGTTGTTGGGAGCTTGTTTGTAGATCAAACTGATTTACCCCATGTTTGTAAATCAGGCCACTTATGTAGATGCCTAAATGAGGACTTAGGAACCTATTGTTAGGCACCCTTGTTGAAAGGCTTGGCCCTGAGGTCACTGGAGAGATGAACCCATGTGTTATGTTCAAATAAAGCTGTTTAAAAGTTTCTAACAATGTTCAGATCAGACCTAGAGCTGTCTGAGCGACATTAGTTCATAGAATCATAGAATATCAGGGTTGGAAGGGACCCCAGAAGGTCATCTAGTCCAACCCCCTGCTCAAAGCAGGACCAATTCCCAGTTAAATCATCCCAGCCAGGGCTTTGTCAAGCCTGACCTTAAAAACCTCTAAGGAAGGAGATTCTACCACCTCCCTAGGTAACGCATTCCAGTGTTTCACTACCCTCTTAATGAAAAAGTTTTTCCTAATATCCAATCTAAACCTCCCCCACTGCAACTTGAGTTTTGGACATTTAAACTTTGAACCTGTGTTTTTGGAGAAAGCTAAACTTCTCTCTTGTTGTCTGTTCCCCTCCCCCCACACACAGTAAGTGAGTGTTTCAACAGTAACATCAAGTTAACAACCATTTTTTGCCTGGGAATGTTCATTAAATGTATGTCTGATTTTTCTTTTTAATCATTAGTTGAACAAATATCTTTTTGTATAAAAACTAAACTTTGACTTACAATTGTACTTTTATGTCAACTATTAGATCCAGACACATCTAAACTTGTTTTTCCCTAATGTTGCCTTGTTTAGCTATTTTGATGCCTTGTATAAAGAGTGATGTAGAAATTGCTTACAACAAATTGGTTTTCCTGCATTCATGGGTGGAGACAAAAAAGAAAAACTCATTAAAGTGACGGGAAAGAATATCATTACATGTATTTATAAAATGCACATCACCATGGTATCTGAGTATACATGACAAAATCCAAGTAAAATGAGCGTGGTAGTCTAAGCCCTGGTCTACACTAGGACTTTAGGTCGAATTTAGCAGCGTTAAATCGATGTAAACCTGCACCCGTCCACACGATGAAGCCCTTTATTTCGACTTAAAGGGCTCTTAAAATCGATTTCCATACTCCACCCCTGACAAGTGGATTAAATCGGCCTTGCCGGGTCGAATTTGGGGTACTGTGGACACAATTCGACGGTATTGGCCTCCGGGAGCTATCCCAGAGTGCTCCATTGTGACCGCTCTGGACAGCACTCTCAACTCAGATGCACTGGCCAGGTGGACAGGAAAAGAACCGTGAACTTTTGAATCTCATTTTCTGTTTGGCCAGCGTGGCAAGCTGCAGGTGACCATGCAGAGCTCATCAGCAGAGGTGACCATGATGGAGTCCCAGAATCACAAAAGAGCTCCAGTATGGACCGAACGGGAGGTATGGGATCTGATCACTGTATGCGGAGAGGAATCCGTGCTATCAGAACTCCGTTGCAGTTTTCAAAATGCCAAAACCTTTGTCAAAATCTCCCAGGGCATGAAGGACAGAGGCCATAACAGGGACCCGAAGCAGTGCCGCGTGAAACTTAAGGAGCTGAGGCAAGCCTACCAGAAAACCAGAGAGGCGAACGGCCGCTCCGGGTCAGAGCCCCAAACATGCCGCTTCTATGATGAGCTGCATGCCATTTTAGGGGGTTCAGCCACCACTACCCCAGTGGCGTTGTTTGACTCCTTCAATGGAGATGGAGGCAACACGGAAGCAGGTTTTGGAGACGAAGAAGATGATGATGAGGTTGTAGATAATTCACAGCAAGCAAGCAGAGAAACCGGTTTTCCCGACAGCCAGGAACTGTTTCTCACCCTGGACCTGGAGCCAGTACCCCCTGAACCCACCCAAGGCTGCTTCCTGGACCCGGCAGGCGGAGAAGGGACCTCCGGTGAGTGTACCTTTTAAAATACCATACATGGTTTAAAAACAAGCATGTGAAAGGATTACTTTGCCCTGGCATTCGCGGTTCTCCTGGATGTACTCCCAAAGCCTTTGCAAAAGGTTTCTGGGGAGGGCAGCCTTATTGCCTCCTTCATGGTAGGACACTTTACCACTCCAGGCCAGTAACACGTACTCGGGAATCATTGTACAACAAAGCATTGCAGTGTATGTTTGCTGGCGTTCAAACAACATCCGTTCTTTATCTCTCTGTGTTATCCTCAGGAGAGTGAGATATAATTCATGGTCACCTGGTTGAAATAGAGTGCTTTTCTTCAGGGGACACTCAGAGGAGCCCATTCCTGCTGGGCTGTTTGCCTGTGGCTAAACAGAAATGTTCCCCACTGTTAGCCACGGGGAGGGGAGAGGGTTGAGGGGGTAGCCACGCGGTGGGGGGAGGCAAAATGCGACCTTGTAACGAAAGCACATGTGTTACGTACGTAATGTTAACAGCAAGGTTTACCCTGAAAGAGTGTAGCCACTGTTTTATAAAATGTGTCTTTTTAAATACCGCTGTCCCTTTTTTTTTTCCTCCACCAGCTGCATGTGTTTCAATGATCACAGGATCTTCTCCTTCCCAAAGGCTAGTGAAGCTTAGAAAGAAAAAAAAAAAAGCACTCAAGATGAAATGTTCTCCGAGCTCATGCTGTCCTCCCACACTGACAGAGCACAGACGAATGCGTGGAGGCAAATAATGTCAGAGTGCAGGAAAGCACAAAATGACTCGGAGGAGAGGTGGCGGGCTGAAGACAGGGCTGAAGCTCAAATGTGGTGGCAGCGTGATGAGAGGAGGCAGGATTCAATGCTGAGGCTGCTGGAGGACCAAACCAGTATGCTCCAGTGTATGGTTGAGCTGCAGCAAAGGCAGCTGGAGCACAGACTGCCACTACAGCCCCTGTGTAACCAACCGCTCTCCTCCCCAAGTTCCATAGCCTCCACACCCAGACGCCCAAGAACGCGGTGGGGGGGCCACCGGCCAACCAGCCACTCCGCCACAGAGGATTGCCCAAAAAAAAGAAGGCTGGCATTCAATAAATTTTAAAGTTGTAAACTTTTAAAGTGCTGTGCTTAAAGTGCTGTGTGGCATTTTCCTTCCCTCCTCCACCACGCCTCCTGGGCTACCTTGGTAGTCATCCCCCTATTTGTGTGATGAATGAATAAAGAATGCATGAATGTGAAGCAACAATGACTTTATTGCCTCTGCAAGCGGTGATCGAAGGGAGGAGGGGAGGGTGGTTAGCTTACAGGGAAGTAGAGTGAACCAAGGGGCGGGGGGTTTCATCAAGGAGAAACAAAGAGAACTTTCACACCGTAGCCTGGCCAGTCATGAAACTGGTTTTCAAAGCTTCTCTGATGCATACCGCGCCCTCCTGTGCTCTTCTAACCGCCCTGGTGTCTGGCTGCGCGTAACCAGCAGCCAGGCGATTTGCCTCAACCTCCCACCCCGCCATAAACGTCTCCCCCTTACTCTCACAGGTATTGTGGAGCACACAGCAAGCAGTAATAACAGTGGGAATATTGGTTTCGCTGAGGTCTAAGCGAGTCAGTAAACTGCGCCAGCGCGCCTTTAAACGTCCAAATGCACATTCTACCACCATTCTGCACTTGCTCAGCCTGTAGTTGAACAGCTCCTGACTACTGTCCAGGCTGCCTGTGTACGGCTTCATGAGCCATGGCATTAAGGGGTAGGCTGGGTCCCCAAGGATACATATAGGCAGTTCAACATCCCCAACATCTTCTGGTTTGGGAATAAAGTCCCATCCTGCAGCTTTTGAAACAGACCAGAGTTCCTGAAGATGCGAGCGTCATGTACCTTTCCCGGCCATCCCACGTTGATGTTGGTGAAACGTCCCTTGTGATCCACCAGAGCTTGCAGCACTATTGAAAAGTACCCCTTGCGGTTTATGTACTCGGCGGCTTGGCGCTCCGGTGCCAAGATAGGGATATGGGTTCCGTCTATGGCCCCACCACAGTTAGGAAATCCCATTGCAGCAAAGTCATCCACTATGACCTGCACATTTCCCAGGGTCACTACCCTTGATATCAGCAGATCTTTGATTGCGTGGGCTACTTGCATCACAGCAGCCCCAACAGTAGATTTGCCCACTCCAAATTGATTCCCAACTGACCGGTAGTTGTCTGGCGTTGCAAGCTTCCACAGGGCTATCGCCACTCGCTTCTCAACTGTGAGGGCTGCTCTCATCTTGGTATTCATGCGCCTCAAGGCAGGGGAAAGCAAGTCACAAAGTTCCATGAAAGTGCCCTTATGCATGCGAAAGTTTCGCAGCCACTGGGAATCATCCCAGACCCGCAACACTATGCGGTCCCACCAGTCTGTGCTTGTTTCCCGAGCCCAGAATGGGCGTTTCACAGCATGAACCTGCCCCATTAGCACCATGATGCATGCATTGGCAGGGCCCATGCTTTCAGAGAAATCTGTGTCCATGTCCTGATCACTCACGGGACCGCGCTGACGTCACCTCCTCGCCCAGTATCTCTTTGCCAGCTTCTGGTGCTGCATATACTGCTGGATAATGCGTGTGGTGTTTAATGTGCTCCTAATTGCCAAAGTGAGCTGAGCGGCCTCCGTGCTTGCCTTGGTATGGCGTCCGCACAGAAAAAAGGCACGGAACGATTGTCTGCCGTTGCTCTGACGGAGGGAGGGGCGACTGACGACATGGCTTACAGGGTTGGCTTACAGGAGCTAAAATCAACAAAGGGGGTGGCTTTACATCAAGGAGTATTTCAGGCAGGACTTCACGGAGGGTTCCAATAAGAAATGGTGCACCTAAGTTATTGTTCTTATTGGAACAAGGAGGTTAGTCTGGCCTCTGATTGATACATGGCTAGATTTACCTCGCTGCACCTTCTCTGTGGGTGACTGCAGTGTGACCTAGAGGAATGAGTCCCCTAGACTGGGAGGAGGCAAATGAGTACAAAACAAATCTGGTCTATTTCTTGTTTTGATCCACACCATCTATCTTTTACATCTTTGGCTGGCAGCAGACGGTGCAGAAGGACTACATGCCATCCACATCTCATGACTGCTCGGCAGAAGATGATGCAATAGGACTGCTAGCAATCCATGTCGCCTGCCTGCTCACCATAAGACGGTTCAATAGGACTGATTGCAGGACTAAAGAGAATGACCTGGTCAAGTCACTCCAAATTTAGTCCCTGCGTCCATGTCTGCCCAGGCGCTCATGGCCGATGTGGCCAGGAGCACCTCGGACATGACGATGACGGCTACGTCGTACTGTACCGTGTGCTGCCACAAGGCAATGGGTTGCTGCTACTGTGTAGCAATGCAGTACCGTGTCTGCCAGCACCCAGGAGACATACAGTGATGGTTACCTGAGCGGGCTCCATGCTTGCCGTGGTATGGCGTCTACACAGGTAACTCAGGACAATAGGCGCGAAACGATTGTCTGCCCTTGCTTTCACGGAGGGACGGAGGGAACGGGGGCCTGACGATATGTACCCAAAACCACCTGCGACAATGTTTTAGCCCCATCAGGCATTGGGATCTCAACCCAGAATTCCAATGGGCAGCGGAGACTGCGGGAACTGTGGGATAGCTACCCACAGTGCAACACTCCGGAAGTCAACTCTAGTCTCGGTACTATGGAAGCACTCCGCCGAGTTAATGCACTTAATGCACTTAGAGCACTTTCTGTGGGGACACACACACTCGAATATATAAAACCGATTTCTAAAAAACTGACTTCTATAAATTCAACCTTATTCTGTAGTGTAGACATACCTTAAGCACAGTCCTCATTGGATAGAGTTCGGAATTACAGACCTGTCATAAACATTGAGGAGTCTGGTGGCACCTTAAAGATTAACAGATTTATTTGGGCATAAGCTTTTGTGGGTAAAAAAGCAGTGGGTAAAAAAACCTCCTTGTTTTTGTGAATATAGACTAACACAGCTACCCTCTGATACTTAGATCTGTCATGTAATTTGGCATAATATGCTGTCTGTGTTCAAGAGCTGGTGTCGAGACTGAATAGTCCCTTCACCTAGAGAATGCAGGCTAGAGTTAACTCCAGGCTAGAGTTAAGGTAGCTAGTGGGATAACTCACTGCATTGTCCTAAGTATACCGAACAGGTGCTTGTAAAATAAAATAGTTTGGGTTCCACTGCTGCTAGTCCCTTAATTTTCACAAATAATAACAAAATATTTGTTTACTTTTTGAATTATGCATCTGTTGGAATTAAATTACATTAGTCAGTTACTCTTTCTGGTTCTTATACATTCGAACAAAATTGCTTTTTGTATTCACAAACACTGTATGGGAACATTTAGATTTAAACTCCCACCATCCCCAAAAGCCTGTTTTCACTGAGGTAAAATAATTCCAGTAACATAAATAACTAGGTTTTGTAAGCCTCCTTCCCTCTCTTTTCTATTCCCTCCTTTTTCATACAAAATCTTAAATGTTAGGTCTAAAACTAATTAAACGCTCTTTATGCCAGATAGCACCATTATTGTATGTGGTTATTACATTAGGTGAACCTATAATATCTTTAGGTTTTATATTCTCAGAAGCTGACCACAAAGCTCTTTTAAAATATTGACTTTTTGTTTTAGCATAAATTTCCCCTGAAGGCCTACTTTCCTCATCATCATCAGCATCTTGTGATAGCCTTACTCAAACATCCTTTTGGTAAGTTCTGCCTTGAATTGTTTTGCAGCATTAACAGAATCTGCATTTTCACTTATTTTTCTGCACAATAGATAACCTCAAAAATAATGCACAAGGGTTACCTTAATTCTGAGAGCTTGACTTTGCCACTTTTGTAATGCTTTTTTAACGTAGGTTTTTGTGTAACTTTTATATACAATGGCGTAGATTTAAACAAAATTAAAACCAAAACCAAATAAGAGTAATAGAAGAGGCAAATTATTTTCAATATAATAAAGCCAATGCTAGGAATTAAAAAACAGTTATCAAGCACTGGAAAGGTATTCAATGTTCATGTCTTGTAAGCCCAATAATGATCACTGTGAAAACGCCCATAAGACGTGTTAATGCATTGTGTTGCCTTTCTCCTCTCTAAAATCTGGAAATCTGATTTCAGTTAAGTCACAAATGAAAATAAGTTTGGTCTCCATTGTCTCTCATTTATGCATATCAGAAAACTAATGTTTCATGTGAAGCAGTTCTGCATGATTGGCAATTTCTGCTAAGGACAGGGGCAGTTGACTGGGTTAACAGAGATACTAGATTAGTATTGATGAGAAACTATATATGTGTGTGTGTGTGTGTGTGTGTGTGTGTATGCATGCGTGTGTGTGTGTGTGTGTGTACACACACTTATGCCTAATTTGATGAATAGCCTGAACTTTAGTTCTGTATTTTGCAACTGAACTTTTGTCCTAAAAAAATAATTTATTATGGATATGGTTGAAAACTATGGGAAAGTTTAAAAATGAGAAGCAATTACTGAAGACTGAATCATGTGTCCAGCAAGTTCTAGTTCTAGCTTGATACCACACCAAATATTGTTTCATTAGGTACAACATTTCTTCTTATTGTTTTCCAGATTTGCCAGCTATGCTCTGGTCTCAGCACCTGAAATACATTACTGACATGCTTAAAGCAATAATAGAAGATAAAAGCATTAGGTAAATAAAAATACTTAGACTATCCCATATCATTTCTATCTGTTCTATTACTTTGTGAAAAGTCATGTGGTTCATAATCTTGGTTCATTAATGCTTAGTTCTCTTTAGTTGCCATTTTCTTATTAGTTCCCAAATTCAACCTCTGTTTAAGGATAGGAAAATAGGATATCCTAGGATATAAGGAGGCCTGCTAAACTATTAACCTGATTTTCAGAGGTCTCAAGTGCCCACAGTTCAAGTCAATGAGCACTTCAGAAAATCAGGCCTTATAGTTACTCTGTGATAGGCTCTACTCACCGCAAGGTGTACCACCTCCTAGCCACTCTGGGGATTAGTTCCTTCCAGATCTGAGGCCCCCTTTTGCTGCATGCTGCACACTCTGTTGCTGCTCTCCCTCTCTGAAACTCGGGATGCTCCTTCTTCCTGACTTGGCCCTCCAGCCAGGTCCCTGTGTGTGTTTCCTTAGGTTAGTGGCTGGTCCCAACCACTACTAATAAGGGTTCTTCCATTTGGCTTATCAGCAGCACC